ATTGGCGGCTCTAGTCCAAAGGATGCCCCGAGCCAGGGTTGTCCAACTGGCGAAAGGTTATTAGTCAACTGTAAATGTTCCTTGAATCCATGTGGGGGCGAGAATATTGTGCGCCTAACACATGCGCCCTCACCTCTCTCAATACCCTCTTAATGTAAAAGTCAGTTAAGTTTAAGTTTAGATTTTAGGATTTTTTTGTGTAGTAAATTCAGAAATTCAAAATCATCCCAATGTGTTCCACAGCGTTGTGCTTGGTGCGGCCTGATGTCACGATTTCATCTCCCCACCACGTTTCAGAGCAAACGGCCAAACTGCCGGGGTTATAAACAATACGGGGTTACGTGTAGATCGCCCGAGTAATGAAAACATGGCCCTCAACCATAGTAAAGGTTTTAGTTGGGACCCTGGAAGCCTTGCAAGTTGGACACCTCTGCCACAAGCAGTAAAAATGTGGAGGCTCTCAAACTCAAGTTAGAAATAAATATTACAAGAATATTCTCCTAGTCTTATTAACAAAAAAAAGTAACGACAACTCATGCTGTTACACATTACATTTATTTTGAATTATTTTACATGTATTTCGGTCGTGCTTTATTTTTACGACAAAATTATTAATGATTTTGTGAATATCAATGCAATTTAAAATGTGTTGTTCTTTATACAAAATGGCCAAGATATTTAGTGTTTCTTCGATCATTGTATTCCTTTAATACTTGTTTTTACTATTTTTAAAATAGAAAATTATATTTCTTTGATAATTTTCCAATTTTCCAAAATAATTCCATTTGATAAAGGATTGGTAAGAAAAATCTTCAATAATATTTTAATATTCCGAAATGGGCAAGAAGCGAAATTCGAGGCCATACGCATCCGTTTACTCCGTAACTGAAAAGGCCACATTAACTGCCCACAATTACTATCAGAACTATTTTCGACATTCTCGTGTGATTCTGTCCTGATAATGAAGCCGGATAGTTGGCCGAAACATTCCCGTTTCTACCAAGGACGCGATCTTCAACATTCTGCATTGAAGAAGACATTCCGCCCTTGGTAGGAAAGACGCAAAACTTCATTTCTACCGAGAGCGTGATGCTTACTTCAACACTCTTGGTGAAGTCCTCGGTAATGAGGCTGAATCGTTGGCCATTCTGGAGTATCCCTGATTGGTGCTATATGTAGAATGCCGACAGACGGAATCATCCGGCTATGATGTCATCAACCTGATCTTAGCCACCACCTCTCACCAAGGGACCCTGCGCGTAGCTTCAAAAGAGTCGCTCAGTAAATGATCGTGACTGGTTGACAAAAACATGTGTATGGGAGTTTTCTATTTGCCATTATCCAAAGATTCGCGAGAGACCCTTTCTCACACCACCTTTAACATTATTTGACAGAATTATATATAGAAAAAATAAGAACAGAAAACCTGTCAGTGTGGTTTTCATTAGTACAAACAGAAGGGCGAGTGCACAAACAATATTGGAAGGAAATTACAGTTACGCTGGTTGTGGTATTGCTTGTATTGAGTGGTTGTTCTGCGTTCTGGAATTTTGTAGTCTTCTATCAAACATTTGATATTGGAAAATATATGAGTGTACCCCAGAATTAAAATATTTGTTTAATAAGAATTAAAATAATTTTCTGTTTAAAAGCCTGCAGAAATTATGAAAATGTCTATTGAATTTTTCAACAAAAACATTTTGAGATTTTTTTAATAGCAAGTGAGTCAATGCTTTAAGATTTTCAAATAAATATTTCTTTTTTGCACATCTTATATCAAAATTGGAAATATGCCAAGCATTCAGAATTTTCCAAGATGAGAATGAATAAATAGTGTAAGGATTAATGTCTTTGTAAATTAATATCAATAAATTCTGGATCAAATTTCAACAGAGTATATGAATGAGTCCTTCAATATTTAAAAAAAATTGTTGTAGGTATTGATCTTTCAAAAACTTACTTTTTTTTGTCATAGAAATGCCATATTTTTCTGTTTTCACAAATTTATCTAACTCCATAGACACGATTAGCCCTCTAAATTACAACTAAACACAAATTTTCAAATTCAAAAGTAAAAATGGAATATTCTAAGAAATATTTTGTGCACTTTCTCTTTTGCCTTAATTTTAACCTGCATCACAAGCTTATTAAATAAAGTCAGACATAGTGGACATAAACATTTTTATCGTTACATTTTTATTGCAACATTTCGCTTCCATGTTTTTCACCAAGGGAAAAATTTATTAATGTTTTAATGTTTTCAATTTGTTTTATCAATTGGCTGAAATAGCAAGAAGCAACCTTACAGGACCTTTTCTTAAACTCCCCTTTGCCTGTGTTTGTCTTATGTCTTTTCCTTGTGAAGTTTTAATCGTGCCTTGTGATTTGCAATTGATTTTGTCCCTTACCTAAATACCATCTCATTGTAATATATTTTGAGTATGAATAAATTGTAAACATTGAAATAATGCATGGTTTTTAAAATAAGTTAATGATGCTAGTGAAATTTAATTATTCTGCATAATCGTATTTTGCTTAATTGTTTGCATTTACAATTAATGTATATGAAAGTATTTATTGCATTTACGCTGATTTGGTAACATCTTGTCACAATGAATCATACCTATATGTACCTAAATTCAAACTGTCCTGCCCTCCTAACTTTCTTCTCCTATGAGAACCAATATTCCTTCTCACAAGCAATTTAAACTTTGAGCCCGTGAGCTTGTGTGAGGTGAATGTAACCTGCCTGCTAACACAATGCTATGCATCACTCGCTTGCAACAGATGTAGGTGTGACTCCCGCTTTGAGGAGACGTCGAGAGAGGGCTGAAAGGCAACGCAGTTTTATTCGTGAACAGCAGGAAACGGCTGCTACACTTAAAGCTTCTCTTGGTAATACAGAGGATAGTATTGAGGATGGTACGTAGTGAAGTAATCAACATTTTTGAAGTGAAATATGTTTATTTTTTGCTTTTTCATTTTTTTTAACCTTTTTACATTTTTTGTTATTTACGTATTGATTTTTTTATCACAGTTTTTACATATTCTCTGTTAATGAGATTCTTTTTCCTCCATTCATCAGAGTATTTTGATTACTAATGAATGATAAGTCTAATTTAATTCTTTTTTGCTCTACAGAAAATCAGAAGACATCACAGCGAATTAGTAATGGATCTATAGAAGGTTCCAACAAGTATCAGAACAGAGTACCAAGTCGAAAAGATATGACACCACTCCTCAATGCAGTTAATTCAGCAGAAAGTGAAGGCAAAGTAGGTGATGGCATTTTAAAGAAACCTTGGGTATTATCTATGATGTATGGTAAAAATGCAGATGGAATGGAGAATGTCGAAGCTGAAGACATGAAGACTCTGAACGAAAATGGAACAGATGAAAGCTCTGAGAGAAAGATGCTTTTACAATTGAAACGTGAGAACACAGTCAAAGATCTCACACAGAAACTTTCAAATCAGAACATACTTCACAGTCCTGTTGAGGAGGGAAATAAAATCAACAGGATAGGTGATATGACTGGTTTAATTTCAAAAGCGAAAGAAGGCCTAGCTAAATCTAAATCTAAGGCTGATGTAACAAAAAGTCCTACTGGTGAAAATGTGCCAAAAATGGTGGAGCAGAAAAAGTCAGAAACAGAATTACATTGGGAAGAACTCCTCAGCTCCTTGAAGCGACCTCTTTCTTTGTGTGATTTGGACTTCACCGATTTGAAAAGTGAAGATGAAGTTGATGTTCTTTCACCTACTCATGTTTCCAATGGAGTTCCTCCGCCTCCACCTCCAGTTCCTATGGCTCCAGGAATGCCTCGAATGGGCAATGGAGCTCCTCCTCCACCACCTCCAGTTAACAGATTTGGAAATTCAAATGCACCACCTCCTCCATTGTTTGGTGTGAATTTACGGAACAATAGAATTGGAACAGGAAACACAACTTCCTCTGAATCCAACAAAACACCTCCATCCCCTACAAAGAAAACCAAAAAAACTGTCAAATTGTTTTGGAAAGAAGTTCGTGATGATCCTATCATTCTTGCCAAACTTCAGAAGTCTGGCATGATATGGGATGAATTGAGTCCTGTGAACGTGGATACACAAAAATTGGAACATCTTTTTGAATCCAGAGCAAAAGACTTGATAACAAAGGTATGTGATAAATGCCAGACTATGTTTTCATGTGCACCTTCTCTTGCTGTCATGTTAGCTTTGTGTACTTGTGCTTGATACCACATGCATGTGCTGGCAGAAAGAAGACACAAATATCTGCCAATTATCCCTAAGTTCTTCCATGTAGTAAGATAAAATTATTTTGTGACAAAACCTTATCAGAATTATTCAGATCAATCATGCAGACGCCCTAACATGGCATGTTAGCTCTTTTGCTGGACGCATGATGCAGTAGTGCCTTATAATTGATTTTGTTTCCCAGTAATTTTTTACCATTGTAATTTTGCTTTTAACAAAGTAGCTGTTTGGGACAGTTTTATAAAATTAATTCTTTCAATAGGTCTAAGTCATATTTTTGATTGGCAATGATTTTTCTTGGTTTATATGAACATCGTGAATTAGTTATAATTACATTGATATGTATTTTGTATTAGTTGAACTGATTGTGAAACATAGTTTCCTACTGTAGTTTACAGCACTATTTTATCAGCATGAGTTATTTTTCTATAAATGCATCGTAGTTGATTGGCTCTAAAGTAGTTATTTTATTGCTTTGTTTCTGCACTGTAGTGCATGAACTTGCTTACAAATCCCTTGTCAATGTTTCATTAAAAATTTTTTGCATTTTCAATTTTTTGTCTTTAGAATAAGTATTTTTAAAGATTTTGTTATTTTTTATGATACAGAATATTGTAGAAGCTTAAGTACTTTTTGACAGTATTCAATTTTCTAGCAGTTGAGATAGTTTCTGATTTTAAGAATTATTTAAGATTTTTAAAATATTTTTTACAGAAAAAATCTATAAACTTCAATATTAATCAGTGTTTTACATTAACTGACGTGCCATATATGATACCAACAAGCTAATATCATCACAATTGTCGGCTTTTTCTTGAAGTTCAGCATACATGTCTAAATGTTCAATTTATGTGCTTGCTGGTATTTAATATGTCACTGTTACCTGCTTTGCTCAAGGGTCTTGGTGTCGTATGACTTGCTCTCTAATCACTTTGTCGTATTTATTGTACATTTTGACAGGCTTATGGTACTTACTCTGATGCTTTTTATTAATCTTTTATGTTTCTTCCCCAATTTTGAATGGTCATCACAACTATGGCATGCTGCCCCATTAGGAGGTGAGTACGTTATAGCAAAGGGCCATTTTTAGTATGAATTGCGCTTTTCTGTTGGGTTGGCTGTGGTTACTAGTTTGAGGTATTGGCTGTTCTTTCATCTACCAAAAAAAAGGCAATGCAGTGCAGGAAGGAATATGGTTTGAAATTTAAGAGGAATTTTCTTGTAAGCGATTTTGTTGGGCAAATTGCACAATGTGATTAAAAGGTTATTAAACTGTACTTAGGCATAATTTTTCAATTAGATAAGCCACTTTTAATTGTAGGAAATAGTATGTACAAAAAATTTATGTAGATTATTTGGTTTTGTTTTCACACGAGTTTAAAGACCCATCATGGCATACAAATGAATCTATTATCTAATTAATGTAACAGCAAAGCACGTGTGAAACTTAAATGTAAACATTTAGTACTTTATTTGAATATTTGAGTAATGATTCATCTTGTTGGATAGATTTGGCAAAATGCTTCTACCCCATCCTTTGTTGTGATGTTTTGTGCTGTGTTAAATACCTTTTATTGTGATTGCCTTTGTGATGTAATATCAAGCATTTATCTACAAGAAAAAATGAACATTAGCTACTAGTTCATAATCTGTTCGAAATAGGGTCTTATTTTTCTCCATTTTTATTTCAATGTTGACTCTTTATTTACTTTTATTCCAAGTTTATTGTATCTCTTTTTTTGTGCATTGACTTTATCCTAGCTCAGTTTTAAAATTATTTTTGGTAATGCTTATCAGATGCATAATTTTATATAATGAGTATTGTGTTATTATTTTGCATAAAGCATTCAAACTTTGCATTTGTGTCTGTCATGCATATTATTTTTAATTGCCTGAAATCTGAAAATAGTTCTTACGTTACACATTGATTTTATATTGTGAATTTGTAGTATTTTCGGGACAAATTTTATATCATAAAATAAATGTAATTTATTATGATCATAGAAACAACAAGAGATGAATAAAAACAAGGAAATAATAGTCCTGGATCACAAGCGCTCCAATGCCATTAACATAGGCATGACGAAACTTCCTCCACCTCGTTCAATTAAAACAGCAATATTGAAGATGGATGCAACCATTATGAATAGAGAAGGCATAGAGGTAATATTTCTTAAATTCTCAATTAAAAGTTTGAAGAATATATTTCAGAATTTGTAAAGTTATTGATGTCTTTCAGAAATTGCTGACAATGTTACCAACAGAGGAAGAACGAGCCAAAATACAAGAAGCACAAATGGCAAATCCTGATCTTCCCTTGGGAAGTGCTGAACAGTTCTTGCTGACTCTAGCTTCCATATCTGAACTTCCAGCTCGACTTAAATTATGGGCTTTCAAATTAGATTATGAAAATAGTGAGAAAGTAAGTCTATATTGTACAACAAAACATCATATTTCTCAGAAATGTTATCCATATTCTTGTGTTAATTTTTTTCTTTTGTTTTACCTTTCTTTTCTTTTTTCAATATAGGAAATTGCTGAGCCCCTGATGGATTTGAAACAGGGAATGGAAACACTAAAAGCCAACAAAACATTCCGAGGAATTCTGAGTACTCTGTTGTCAATTGGAATATTTCTCAATGGAGCTGAAGTAAATTTAGTTTTTACATTTGTTTTAAATTGATTTGATTTATTTATTCAAAGATCAGTAAAACCTTTGTGATGTACGGGGGAGAAGTACCATATGTGCATGTTTTCTTGAGCTACAGAATCTCTTCCCAACATAGTTGAAAGTTGAATAAAGGAGAGAGGGGAGAAAAAAAGTGTGAGGTTAGCAACGTTTGAAAATGCTTTTGCTCCAGAGTTATAGAAAACTTATTTGCATCAATAAATAAACTGGAGATTTGATATTTTTTTTGTATTGCTAACAAAATAGTAACCAACCCCTTGCTCTACCCCTAACACTACTAACTAAGGAGAGCTCAATAAAACATGCACATAGTGAAGCTACATTTATGTCCAGAAGCAAAACAAGGGACAATCTCCGCATTTGTTCAATGGATCGGGGTCACTGAACAAAAACCTGATCAAAATGGGGGCCATTGACCTAGAAGCTGAAGTAAATTATTAATTGCAAGCATATTAAGTATTTTTGAAAATTATACAATACAAATGTAAACTAATTCATTATTTATCATTGTTAAAATAAATACAGTAATATTTTTCTTTCTGATGATCAGTACAGTTTCTAATTTTGTTGAAACAGTTATGCAGTAGAAAAGATTTTACTTTTAACTTCAATTTATGTACTGATTTTAAGTGTCTAATGTCATCTGGCAATGTGTTTTAAAATAATGTATGTATATTATATGTGAATTTCTTGTAGTGAACTGTTAATACTGACACATTTGTTTCCTGAAACCGCACAGTGATTTTCAAGAAAGAAATAAACCCTAATTTTCTGTTTCAGGTTAAAGGATTTCAGATAGAATATCTTGCAAAAGTTCCAGAAGTGAAAGATACTGTTCATAAGCACTCTCTTTTACATCATCTTTGTCACATGGTCATGGAAAAGTTTCCTGATTCTTCCGATTTATATTCTGAAATTGGAGCTGTCACTAGAGCATCCAAAGTTGATTTTGATGAACTTGCTGCAAACATACTCAAAATGGAACAGGAATGCAAAGCATCATGGGATCATCTTAAAGTAATTGCTAAACATGATGGAACTGCAATGAAAATGAAGTAATAAGCTTAACATTTTGTTATCATGGCAATAAGATATTTCAAATTTAGGAACTTTCTTTTCATAATTTGATTTTCTTCTAGAATATCCGAGTTTCTTGCTGACTGTGCTGAAAGAATAATTGTATTAGGGATTGTTCACAGACGAGTAATGAATAGGTAAGCTGTATTTATCACATTTTTATTTTACAATTTCAATGACTCTCTTAGTAAAATGTTTTGGCAAGAATATAAGGTCTACAAAACCACATGTTATTCATAACATTGATTTTAAACAAATAAATTTGTTCTTTCAGATTCCACAAATTCTTATTGTGGTTGGGCATTCCTCTTCATCGAGTACAAGATATGAAACCGAACGAATTTTGTAGGATTGTCTCTGAGTTTTCATTGGAATACCGCACTACAAGAGAGAGGGTACTCCAGCAATTAGAAAAGAAAGCAAATCATAGAGAGAGAAATAAGACTCGTGGAAAGATGATCACTGAGGTAAAAACATTTTAGAAAACTAATTGTATTGTAACAAAATAAATTGACGTCAGATTGTTGAATCTAAAGAATATAAAATATTTTTAATAACCCAATAGTTACTCCTCATCGTGTGTGCACAGAGGAGTGGGGAAGGGTAGGGAAGACATTTGGGCAGGGAGGGGGGGGAGGAGAAGGCAGGGGGTAGGAAACCGCTAATTATTTGGGTAAGAGACACCTCAGGAACTGACTGGTAACTTGCAAAAGACAACACGTGTAAAATAAATTTTTCATGTGTTTGCGTTGTTTCCTAGTAAAATTAAGTAAAATATGTCATATATAAATAATCAGAGTAAGGAAGCACGTAAGGGCTTAGAAATGTAGTTTCCTTCCCCACCTCATATTTTAAGGTACACATGCCTTATATTTCATGCAGAAAGGGAATCAGATTTTTGAGTTCTTAAAGTCAGTCTTTCAATTCTCAAACTTTCAATATTTCATTCTTAATATAAGTTAAAGATGTCTTATTATGAGGGGCCTTTATTTTAATAACTCCATTATTAATATTATATAATAATTAAACTTGTTAAACATTACTTGAAGTATTGGTTCAAATGTGCAATTATATGATGAAATAGGTTGGAAAATTCAGAACAAAAGAAGATAGAGCTGATGCAGAGTTGCGACAACTCCTAGGAAGTGATATCTCAGATGCTGAAAGTATTCATGGTACACTGCCTTGGAGGAGACAGAGGAAAGATTTAGGTATGTTTTACAAACATTTTATTCCAACAATATCATTGTGGTCATTTCTGTACGAAGTGGAAATGTACATTGAAATAAATTTTTAAATAAATTAATTTTGCTTCAAAGGACGTACATCTTTGGGACCCTTGATCTCCAGTGAAACTGTCAATGGGAATTTGACAGATGGTGATGATGAAATCCTGGAAAGCTTGGTTAAGACTGCAACTAAAGCTCCCACCACACGCACTACCCCAAGGGAAAGGAAGAGAACAAGACATGCTGATCGTAAATCATGTAAGTACAGCCGTAATATAAAATTTGAGTTAATACAATGATATGCTTGGTTGCATTTCTACATGCAAATCTTAATTCAGCATTTATTATTCTTGTTAATGGCATTTTTAAACAGATGCTGCTTTGTTTTAGCAATACTAGTGAAGAAATGAACATTGCAATTAGACTTTCATGAATGCACTTAATAATTTGGATTAGGATAATGAATTAACCTAGCTTGGAAATTACCACTTTCATTCATTCAGCAATTTTATTTAGAAAATTCTAAGCAAATTCATTTCCTACTAGTATATGGTTGGCTTGTGAAATGATCATGTACACTGGCTTTTATCAGTTTCCAATAGCTTAAATAAAAAACTGTGCTCATCTTTTCACATAACAAGCCTCTAATTAATAACAGATTTATTAGAAAATCATTTCAGAGATCTTATTTTTTTGTCTGTCCAATTCTAAATAATAAGGAATTTTAATTTACTTTTTCTATGTGAATTTAATTTCTCTACTCAACATTGAGTTAGCATAAATTATGTTAATTTTTGTAAATTTCAGTTTTTTTAATGAGCTTATCCTTCAATCATTCTCTGTGTTTTTTTAACCATCTACCTTCTTTTGTCACCCATCACATCTTGCTTTTGTTCTAGTAAAAGGCCATCAACTTGTCATTCCTGGTTCCACTGTATTCCATCATTAACTGTTATTTCCGGTGAATTAACCAGAGTGTACTTTTAACAGTGTGACATCTCTAATTATAACCTTATAACCCTAACTACCATTTGTCAGTGGAGTAGGAGTTGACCTTGTTTCCAGAAAAAGCACCTGTTGGCCTGCCTGCTAGCCTGCCCTTGTCTCTGATCCATTGAAGGTGGTGGTTTCTTGGCCCCTTGTTTCTCAGTGGGCCTAATGCTTGTCCATTTCTCCCTTCAGTAAAGCGGTCACGAACACGAGAGAATAACACACTCGAGGGTAATAGAGCATCTCCATGATGAATTGGGTACGTGGTGAATGGGCATGAGTGTGAAAAATGTATAGAAATGTTTTACCTAGTGGAGCATGATTTAAAACACACATCTCTTTTGAATCAAAGATTTGTTACTACAGATTGAAATATTTGTTGTGATGCAATTCTTCATTTATCTTATGAATGCAAGTGCATGACACATTGCACTTTTCACTAACATCAATTTAGTGGTGATGCAATTTATGTATGTGCACTTGTCTTTCTGTTTCATTTGCTTATCTTTGACAAAATCTTCATTTCTAGTTAGTGCTTACTAAACTGCTTACTATTTACATTTTTGATCAATTTTTGGTTATTGTTTACCTACTGGGAATTAAAGCATGTTTTGACCATACTAGGTTACAGTGACAACCTCATGCAGTGGCAGCCATGGCATGTGACCTGGGTGCCACTCCAGGGGAATTGCACTTTTGTCTGCTAAAAATATTAAAAAAATCTCTTTTTAAAAACTTTGATACAATTTATAGACATATTATTTGTTATGTAATTGATTTCTTTTTCTCACCTATGCACTCTTATAGTAAAGAGAAAGTATTGTAATGTCATTGTGTATCTCTGTATTGTGGGTGTCTGATATTGAAAAATGTGGTTGCTCTTATAAAAAATAAATTTATTTTTCTGATTCGTTGTGTAATCACTTTTGTGCCAACCACTTTATGTGGTGAAACGTCTTTCTCTCTGGACAACACTAGTGCCTAATCAGTTTGCTTGAGGGTTTTCGTCTTCATCTTTTTCTACTTTTTCTTCTTCTTCTACTTCCACTTCTACTACTTCTTCTTCTTCTTCAACTTCTTCTTCTTCTTCAACTTCTTCTTCTTCTTCTTCTTCTTCTTCTTCTGCTTCAACTTCTTCTTCTTCTTCAACTTCTTCTTCTTCTTCTTCTTCTTCTTCTTCTGCTTCAATTTCTTCTTCTTCTGCTTCTTGAACTTTATCTTAGTCTTCTCCATCTTCTCTGTCTTCTTCGCCTTCTCCGCCTTCTCCGCCTTCTTCGCCTTCTCCGTCTTCTTCGTCTTCTTCGCCTTCTTCGTCTTCCTTCTTCCGATCCTTCTTCCCTTCTACGCCTTCTCCGTGTCTTTCGCCGTCTTCTCCTCTTCTCAGTCTTCTCCGTCTTTCTCCGTCTTCTCCGTCTTCTCCGTCTTTCTCCGTCTTCTCCGTCTTCTCCCGTCTTCTCCGTCTTCTCGTCTCTCCGTCTTCTCCGTCTTCTCCGTCTTTCTCCCGTCTTCTCGTCGCTCTCCGCTCTTCTCCGTCTTCATCCGTTCTTCTCCGTGCGTCTCCGTCTTCTCGCGTCTTCTCCGTCTTCTCCAGTCTTCTCCGTCTTCTCGTTCTTCTCCGTCTTCTTCCGTCTTCTCCGTCTTCTCCGTCTTCTCCGTCTTCTCCGTCTTCTCCGTCTTCTCCGTCTTCTCCGTCTTCTCCGTCTTCTCCGTCTTCTCCGTCCTCTCCGCCTGTACTCCTCTTCTTCTTCTTCTTCTTCTTCTTCTTCTTCTACTCAGTCTACTTCTACTCTACTTCTACTCTACTTCTACTTCTAACTTCTTCTCTTCTTCTTCTTCTCTTTCTTCTTCTCTTCTTCTTCTTTCATCAGCATCAGCATCTTAGTCTTCATCATATCAGCATCTTATTCTTCATCATCAAGCTCCATCTTCTTCATCATCAGATCTTCTTCTTCATCATGCACCAGCCATCTTCTGTCTTCTTTCATCATCACCAGCATCTTCGTCTTCTTCATCAGGCATCTTCTCTCATCCATCGTCTTCATCTTCTTCTGGCTTCATTTCTTTCTTTTTTACGTTCTTTTTGTTCCCCTCCAAAATGATATTCTAAATTGAATCCGTTCAACTTGAGGTCCAAAATTGAAAAAACAGTAAATTATTTTGGACGACTTAAATGACACTCAAACATTTTTAAAAAAATTCTCAAAATTGCGTTTCAAAATATAATTTTTCTCAGAAATACAGCAAAATGGACTCATTAAATAGTGTAGATTCTAATTATCGAAAATTCTCGAGTATTTTTGAAAATTCAAAAAGTTCAAAATTTGTTTGGTTCTACTACAGAGTACATGATAGAGACTTCTGTCTTAATGAACCTGACTTAGAAAGATTAATCTTTAAATAACTTGGCCATGAACAGTTTTTTAAAATATAACTTACCATAGTTTTTGGCATAATTTTTAGGTAGAAAGATTTGTTTCATGAATTTACTTACATTTCTTATAATAGAAAGAGTAAATATGAAACAAACAAATTTTAATAAATAGGTAATCGGATTGCTTGCGCACAGACAAAAATATGGTCAGTTTATTTAGTCTGTGAGAATTGATGTCAGTATAATTCCCTTTTTTAAATCTTTTCAAAATTATTGTGAATTTCATTTATTAATTAGTTGACATGAAACAGTAATATAATTGTTTTTTCTTCACTTTTTCCAAAGTTTTGTATTAAAGTTCAGAAAATGAAAACAAGAGCATTTGCATTTTCTTATTCTTATATAATAGAATATTGTTGCTTGTATTGTTTAATTGTTATTTAGTTTCAATCCAGAATATTACTGCTGTAGGAACACGCAACCAAAACACAATTGGCGCGTGTGCGTTCTTGAGATGGATGCTCAATCAGGTGGTTATTGCAATGGCCAAAGGCTACGCATGGTGCCAATTTTTCCCGACATTACCACTTGACCCCATTATCTAAAATTATTACAATATTATTATTAAATGTACATGAATATTTTTAATTCAATAAATATTGTAAAAGTCTAGTGTTGGATAGATTTAGTATACATTACATATCAGGCACTAGAGTTTTTTGTAAACACTTGCAAAAAATACCTATGCGAGCAAAAGTCATTGTGTATTTATAACTTCTAATGAGTAAGTTATTAGATGGTTCACTATGCTTGCCAATTCCATATAGGCCTTTGGTGTCCACGATTACATAAGACAACTTTGGGCTTGTGCCAACCTATAATTTCCCATTTTATTCCAAACTCATTTGTGCCATACACTTCTGTCACATCTACGCTTGTTTGGCACTGTCGAAGTTATTCACCGGGCACCACCCTCTGGTCAATGGCAATTAACATAAAATATCTTTTTGCACCGTGCCTAGGAAATATTGACATTGAAATTGTAAGGCTCAGTGTCTTGTGGCAACGCTCTTTTGTTCACTAAGCTCACCCAATGCATCGCTATTATATGCGTTCTTGTGCACCTTAGACTCCACAGTAAAGATAAGCAAGTAACTTTTGAAACATTAACAACTGTTAGACAGACTTCATGACGAGCCATTGTAGTTTCCCTCTAAGTATACCAGCAGAGTGTACCGTATTTTTTAAGCGTTCATATTTTTATTTTGAGCATTTCTTTATTTCCTTTGTAAGGTCTTTTCTTCATAAATCTATTTGATCTATTCTAAAGCAAAAGATCAATTAGAGATAAGTTCCGCATAATAAACTGGTTATGCGCTGCGGAGATGATACTATACACCTAATTAAAAATGCCAAGGTATAATAATAAATCCGATCCTAATCATCATTTGAAAAATTATGCCCCAGATCACTTTGTCAATTATTTCTCACTACTTTTAGTTTTTGGATACTTTATAATACGTGCTTCTTTTCATATGGGCCAGAAGGGCAATAATAAAGGAAGTAGAAGTCTAAAATAAAAATTTGTCTTCTGGAAAAATAAAATGATGATGATGTGGTATCTGCACTACAAATGGAAAAAACAATGAAGAAAAATATTTTTATTTGTCTTGCACTTCACTTAACAAAAGAAAATATTTGGAATCCCCCTATTTTCTCCTAATGTAACTTGCGTAATATTTATTTTGCTAATTGGTACTATGTGACCATTCAAGAACAAGCTGATGTTCTTCAACTACCTTATTGCATGGTGTTTAATTTGCCATGTACACACATATTTATCATTTAATTAACCAAATATTTGTACAAATGTGTATTTGCATGAAAA